TATTACATACTACTACTACTACTACTACTACTACTACTACTACTGCTACCACTACTACCACTACTACCACTACTACCACTACTACTACTACTACTACTACTACTGCTACTACTACAATTACTGCTCCTCCTCCTGCTGCTGCTACAGTTGTTGTTTCGCCTTTGCTGCTACGACGACTTCTGTTGTGGTTGCTTGTGATGCTGCAGCCGTTATAGCTTACATGGTGGCTACGACTATGGCGATCGGGCGGGCACGGTTACTATATGTCTACTAGGATTCGTCCTTGTTGGGAGTTTGCGACTCCGACAAAACGATTCGTGAGCCCTCCAGTCACCAGCTTCCGGCCATGTATACGAGGCTCCGGGTGTACTTGGAGGATCATGGGACTTAGTAAGAAAGGTTATAAGTACCCTAATTGGGGTTATAATTTTAGTTACCTTATTTATAACCCTAGTTACTAAGTCCCATGATCCTCCAAGTAGGAATCCAAGAGTTTGATCGACACCCTGCAGGCTTGCTACAAGCACGGTAGGCATAGTCGTCTGCTCTTAAAGGAACGCCAAAGATGCCATAGCTCTAATCACCAAAACCCTAAATCCTGCGAACATGGTGAACCTTTCAATGCCGAATCCGATAACCCCTGCGGGTTTTACAGCCTGAACCCCCCAAGACCTATACCATTAATCAATTCAGCCCCAAACAAGATACCCTAATAACACTACTTACTGAGTCCCCACATCCTCTAAGTAAGCCCTACATACTCTTTGTAACACCTTGTTGCGGCCGGACCCTAACCCTAATCCCTAGACCCTGAGCTAAATCTAAAACCCTCCCTCAAACTCTCAAGACCTTAAACCCTAAAAATCTAAAACCTTAAAGCTCCAAAACCCTAGAACATCCTACACCCTAAACTTCTACAAACCGTTATAGAAACCTCAAAGAAACCCGCATAGGTATCCCTTGAATGGGCTGAGGGCCGAGCATCGAAAATCGAAGGCTCGATCTGCCCCAGAATGCCCTCAGCGACAGGGTCATCCAGCCTGGTTCAGGTTTAGGGTTTAGGGTTTAGGTTTTAGGCTTGAGGGGTTGAGGGTGTTGTGGTTTCAGGGGCCTGTAGGGTTTATTTAGGGTTTCAGGACGAAGGGTTTTATTGGTTTAGGCGTTCAGGTATTTCGGGCGTAGGGCTTGGGGGTGAGAGGTCCGGGCGCCCCTTGCTTTACGGGTAGAGTGATGGATTTATACCGGCTTCAGGATTAAAGGCGCAGGGTTTCAAGATGAAGAGCCTTAGGGTTGTGGGGGGGACTAAGGAATTCAGGGCTCTTTTGGGGGGTAAGGGTTTTGGGGCTGTGCCGGGCGAGTTTTTCAACGGGTTCCTTACAGGGCACTATAGTATCATTTGGCATTTCAGGTTTAGGGAATCAGGGTGTTGGGGTTTAGGTGGCTAATATGGCTTTAGTGGCTTTGGGGCTGACGGGTTTAGGGTTCCAGGCTAGGGTGTCCCTTCAGCTCTTCAAAGGAGGTGTTTGTGTGTGTGTGTGTGTGGGGGCTCTATGTGCATATGGTGTACATGACATATATATATATATATACACCTGTGAAAGTATTTACAAACACATACATATATATCGGAATGCATATACTGACAAACACACACACAGAGACATGCATGTATAGGTGCATATATGTATATACATATATATATATATATATGCAGATACATATACATATATGTGTCTGCGTGCGTGTATATATATATATATATGTATGTATATATATATATATATGCATGAATAAGCATACCGATACATACGTATGTATATACATATGCCTATGTGCAGACTAGTATATGCATACATGCATATAGATGTGCATACATATATATATATATAAATAAATAGAAACATCTGTGTAATTATGTATGTACATATACATATATATATATATCTTGTATGTGTATGTACATTTGTACATACATATGTGTATATATAACTGAATGTGTCTCCATGTAGAGACGCATATGTGTATATATACAGTAACTGTCACTAGTTTATACTCGTATAGACTTGTATGTGTGTATGTGTGTATGTATGTATGTATGTATGTATGTATGTATGTATGTAGGTATGTATGTAGGTACGTTTGTAGGTATAACAATATTTACACGAGAGAGGAGGTGTGTGTATACATACACATATGTATGTGTGTGTGTGTGTGCGCGAGTATGTACATACATATATAAATATACATACATGCATGTGTGTGTGTATATATATATATGTATAACACAGAGAAACAGCTGCAGGTACATAAATATACATATTGGTATATGCTTCGTTTGAATATACGCAGGCATGTATGCAGGGCCAGGTACACATGCACGCAGAAGTCTCCATAAGTCAAATTCTATATGCATATAGGACATTAGGAAAGTGCACCACTACAAGCATACATTGAGGCAAGCAAACAGGTGCATGATGCATGCACGCACACAGACACAAAAAGGCGTAAGTGCGTGCCATCGCGTGATGTTTCGAACTTGCGTGAAGCATGCAAAGCGGAACATGCTTGTTCATCAAACCAGGCCGCCGTGCCTCCCATTCCCCCACAGTTTTCAGCTCAAACCACCGAAGCCCGTCCTGGCGGCTGCCAGTTGCGAGAAGTCGCAATCAAACTCATCCCTGCGCCACGAGGATTTGCGGGATTTACGTGTAGGGTGTTTGGGATTGACAGATTAGCGTTGAGGTTTGAAGGCTTCGGCATTTTTGGCTTCGGCTGCACTGCTTCCAATCTACAGTATCTCTGCGCGGCGGGGATGCCGTTCGATACTACTGAGAATTGCACGTGAAATTATCTTAACCCAAAAATTCGGTATTTTGGAATCCCGAGCACCACTCATAGCAATGCCTTTTCAGCAAACCAGGAAGCCGGAGCTCCAAGGGCAACACATCGTACACCACAGACTGCAGAGATAGTGCTGCTGATGATGATGATGATGATGATGATGACGATGATGGCGATGATGGCGACGATGAGAAGACGGCTGAAAGATGTTGACGATGGAGGTGATGCTCTGATGATGCTGTTGATGACAATGACCATGATGACGATGGTGATGATAGTGATGACGAGGGTAGTGGCGATGATGACGATAAAAACGATGACGATGAGCATGCTGGGCGGATAAGGAATATCAGGATCCTGATTGACAGAATAAGTTCAAGACATGCCTGCAAGCTGGCTGGAGTGAACACAGCAAAGCTTGAAGCGTCAGGTTTTGCCTCAACTGCGGCATCGTCTCCGGTGGGAGCTGTTCAGAACTCACCCAGCCGAGATTGCAGCTTAGGAGGCCATGGTGTCATTCACTCGCGCCTGTCCCCGGTGTGCACTTCGTGAATGGCCCCTTTCTACGCAAAGGTAAAATCTGTCTGTCGCGTTCTCCATCAGCCAGTCTTTCTATCTATCTATGTATCTGTCCGTCTGTCTATCTATCCATCTATCTATCTACCTGTCTACCTTTCTAGCTACCTATCCGTCTATGTCTATCTAGCTGCCTATCTCTATCCATCTATCCATCCCTCTGTGTGCCAACCAATCTACCTGTCTACCTATCTATGTGTTTACCTACCTATCTAGTACTGAGACAGATGTACGTGTGTATGATCGCATACATAATATACAGATACATACATACATACATACATACATACATACATACATACATACATACAAACATATACGTACATACACATGTACATATGTATATACTAACCTTTGTACTTCCTGGTCTAAAAATGTGTATAGTTGTGCTTCTGTTTATAGTCATAACGTATACCGTACATATATATATATATACACATAGATGTGTATATGTATGTCTGAATGTATGTATGCATGCATGCATGCATGTATGTATGTATGTGTCATGTAAACATAGTTCAGCTATGTTGATAGAACTTCGTATAGCCGAGCGCGAAGTCTTCAGGTGCAAAAAAAGCCTAATCTCAGATGAGATCTCAGGATCAAGGATTCAACTCAGGGGCTGCGTATCGGAACGCAAAAACATTGGGTTTAGGCTTTAGGGAATTCTGGGTGAGAGTTATATACCCAGAAGGGTTAGAGGATGTTCAAGGTTACCTACCCAGCCCCTAAGTTCGAGGTAGCAGCAAGAGGGCAGTTCCCACTGGGGCAGCTGCCTGCGTTGGTGCCTGCCTCACATCACTTCCCTCCAGTGACGCTTCAAGCCTGTATACTCAGGCAACCCGGAAGGCAACCCGGAACCCTAGAACCAAAGCTCAGACATTACTGTTACCTCTGCGGGTACCACTGGGGGACCTAACCTATACTAGCCTGTCATGCCATCAGCCGCAGCCTGACCGCACGCAGAACGTGGTCCGATGGATAGTAGGCATTCCTGGGTTCGTGAAAAGGGTTTAGGGTTTAGGGTTTAGGAGCAGTCCTAGTAAAGCCCGTAAAAACTCCTGCAACTTCGTATTCTGGTGAATGAACACAATAGGTGTTTGAACCAAGCCTGCCAAGCCCGTTCCCACACCCATGAGGCCCTTTACTAATGATGACGTAAACGAACTCCTCAACAAAGACCCAGCTTCGGCAACTGTTGGGTGTAGTCGATGGCTGCTGGCAGCTCGAGTGCTGCCTCCAGCCAAATGGAGTTCAGATGGGTTCAGGATTTCTTTGGGATATTGAGTCGGATACAGGGGCTGGTTTCCGCTTTAGGGTTCAGTATAGATAGGCAAAGGATTTAAGACGTAGGGATTTTCAGGTTTGCGGTCGGGGATCTCAGGGTCAATGTCAAGACCGCCGACCGAAAGCAACACAAGCTAGGTCTAGGTGGCCCCAAGCCACTGCGTACCCAAACTTGCAGATTTCCTCAATCTTCATCCTAAGTAGCTACTGAAAAGGCGTTCACTTGCAGAAAACGCCTCTGCCTTCATCCGCACGAAACACCGTCTTGCATGCTCGTCAGGCCTCAAACTTGAGTTCTTTGCAGCTAGCTGGCCAAACTGTCCAACACACAGCTCACTGACGCCTCAGCCCCAAAGACAAGAAACTGGTAAGTTCAAGATTCACACCCTCGCTTCGTGATTGGAGAGAGCAGTTTTAGGGTTTAGGGTTAAGGGGGGGGGGGGGCGGGTACATGCAAATAAAATGAGAATGGTCATGAGCCTTGCGTAACTGTCAACATCCAACTAAAACTGTTTCAACCTCCGTATATTATGCATCGCGGGGTATAGGATTTAGGGTTTAGGTGTAGGCTGAAAATCTCCCCCGCCTATCGTTAACAGCACCCCTACACCTTGGACCGCAGAATCCATTCACACCAAGCCGACATCCAAAGCCAAACTGCACTAAATCATCCTAATCCCCCAAAGCCTTCGTCTGACGGATACGGTTTAGGAGTTCAGGCTGAAGGGGTTAGGACTTAAATACGGTGCGCGAGTGGTATGTGGCTTTTTTGGAACTGGGGCGCACCGACTTATCGCGCGATTGCATCAGTCATCCACCCTTAGGGTTGTTTAGGGTTCACCCCGCAAAGCCCCCCTAAACGGAAGTTTTCTTGCTCTCTGCTTAGGGTTTAGGGTTTAGGGTTTAGGGTTTAGGGTTTAGGGTTTAGGGTGCTTCCCTCCGCAATTCTACATAATGCGACCGTATTTCCCAGCAAACCCCCTGAGATGGATTGGTGTCGTGCTGTAGGTCCTCGTGGCCTGTGCCGGCTGTTCGACGAGAAGCAAGGGTTTCCGGCAAACAACCCGCCCCTCGCGCCCTAACATCTACCCTTGAGCGTTTAGCCGTCCTTACAGAGGCGCGGGCCCACGGGGATCCAGATGGTTAAGAGCGGGCGCATACAAAAAGGGGGGCACCCCGACATCGGCACCCGGCCCCACCAAAATCGTGCTTTTTTGCAGTTATAGATTTCTCGACATTTTGGTGCTACCCGACAATCCAAATTTAGGGCCTAGTGGAAGGCACTAAAAGCCCTGAAAATGCCTTGACCCTGCCAATACGCTCTCGGCACTAGAGCGTAAAGGGTGTAGGGTTTAGTTTAGGGTTTACGGTACCAACCCTGATAATATAAGGGCCTAGATATAATTACCTATTTCTATTTTGGAGCTTTCCTTAGTATAACTATAGTATAGTATACCCCAAAACCCTATTCTAATTACTAAGGCGCCTAAACCCTAAAGCCTTATAGTGGCCCTTGTAGGACCCAAGGAAGCCTTTAAAGGAACACCGAAAACCCAATTCTAACTAGTAAGGCTCCGAACCCTAAACCCTAAACCCTAAACCATTAGATGCCTTCAAGAAGCTGAACCCCAAAGCTGCAAGCCTCTAACCCGAGCATAGAAAACCCTCTGCAGCCCCAAAATCATAAACCCTACCACACCCCTGAGTTAGGGTTTAGGGTTCAGGGCTTAGGCCCCTGATCCTTCAAAACCCGAAACCTTAACCCTAAACCCTACACTCTAATCCTATGAGACCTATAACTACGCCTCTAACTAGGTTGCCCAGTAGCCCCTTAACAATAAGGGTACCCTTTTTCCTACTATTTGGTTTTAATCAGGGAACCCAAAAAGAAAAAGGGCAAAAGGTTACTGCTGGGGAACCTACCTAAACTCAGCAGGCTGTCTTCTGCGCCTGGGCCACGATCGTTCCAGGAGCCGACCGGGCCAGAATAAAATCAACCGGACTGCGTGCCGTACCTGCGCGCTTAGGGTGCTCTTGTGAGGATTCCTTATGGTTCTAGGGTTTAATGTGGGGTGTTACAGGATTCCTTATGGTTCTAGGGTTTAAAGTAAACCCCCAAGAAGTTGGAAGCCGGATTAAGGACAATTAGTGCTTGGATTCCCTATGCATTACTCTTAAGGATTGAGGCTATTGGGTTTCCAACTTTTGGGCTTCTACCGTATGGGGTTGGGGTATTGGGCTTTCAGGGTTGGCGGGGCGTGGGTTTAGAAGTGCAGGGTTTCGGCACTAGGGGGGCTCGAGGTTTAGGGTTTAGGGTTTAGGGTTTAGGGTTTAGGGGTTTTGGTTTGAGGGTCCTGGTACCCTAAACCCTAGATCCGTTCAAGGTTGTTAGCTGGGGGTCGAGTCCAATAAGGGATATTTCTTGTTACTGTTGCTATAGCCTGCTGGGCCCTACAAGCCCCAAATCCATGGCCCAAACATCCTCATTTGGGGGCTTAAAGGAGTTTCGGGTGTAGGGTTTAGGGTACTGAGGCCCCTATATGAGCCTAAACACCAGCACTCTAAACCTCAACACCCTTCCGAAACCTTTCTGGAGCCTTTGCAAACACTCCTATGCCGAAAAATCCTACATCACGCGTATGCATCCTCTAGTCTACTAGAGAAACCCAGAGAAAACTCTTCAACAAAGGCTTAATGCAGTAAACCTCGTAACCTAAACCCTAAACCCCTAGACCCCGAAATCCTAAGCTCCGCGACTCCTATCCCCTAAACCCTAAACTCCTAAACCCTCAACCCTAAACCCCTAAACCCCTAAACCCCTAAACCCTAAACCCCAAACCCCTACACCCCTAAGCCCTAAACCTACAGACCCTAAACTCCTAAACCCTAAACCCCTAAGCCCTCATAGATCCCCCGAATGCCTCCGGCAGAGGTCGCACCGGTGTCCTGAAAGCCCTGCTTCCCGACCACCTGTGCAGCTCCCGGATCTCCTGGTGAAAGTTTTGGGTGTAGGAGTTTAGGGTTTAGGGTTTAGGGTGTAGGAGTTTAGGGTTTAGGGTGTTTAAAGCATAGGGCTTAAGGTTGAGGGTTTGAGGGCTTCAGGGTTTAAGGGTTAGGGTTCAGTGCTTTCGGGTTAGGCTTGAGGGTACAGGGTTCTTGTTTGGAAAGGGCTTAGGAGCTCGAGAGTTCATGGGTTTAGGCGATGAAGATTTTTTGCTGTCTGAGCTACGGCATGGGGGTCGTTTGGAGGTTATTTTGATTGGCCTTTGAAAACTGAAGGTATTGAACATTGAAACGTTTGTCTTTTGAAACTTCACGGGCTCAAATTTGTGTGGTGACATGGGTTGCTTAAAGAGGTTGTTGCTGGTCCATGTGGACCCTAAACCCTAAACCCTCAACCCTAAACCCTAAACAGCGCTGTTACAAGCGAAGAACCAGGCTCTTCAGGCTTTCTGTCCGTGTGCTGGGGAAGCTCTTGAAAGTTGTAGCACTACTGGGTTTAGGGGTTCAGGGTTTAGGGTGGCTTCTATTTCAAGAGCCCCCAAAACCATTGACGAAAATTGGCCTTTTTTGTTTTCGCCAGAGTAGCACCGAGGTGTGCTTCACAGTTTCGGGTTTATGAAGCTTCAGGAATACAGGGAACCAGCAATCGCTAACCCCCAAACCCAACGTCCTAACACTGGAGCACCCTAAAACCCGAAACCCCCACACCCCCAAACCCAAACCCGAAACCCTAAGCCCTAACACTGGAGAACCCTAAAACCCTAAACCCTAAAGCTTGAAAGCTGCAAAGCCTAACTTCAAGGACCAGGGGACCTTGGTAGGTAAGGTAATGTAGGGGTCTTAATAATTCGTACAGGGTTTGGGGGTTCCTTATTATAATTAAAGTATGATGTACCACCAAGCCCTATTCTAATTCTTAAGGCCCCTATACTACGGCCCTGAACCCTAAACCCTACACCCCACACCCGAAACCCTGAACCCTAAACCGTGGCTAACGCAACAACACCTAGAACTGAGACCTGCTTTCAAACCCCCCGAACCCTAAACTCCCTAAACCCTAAAACCCTCTGTGCTACATTAAACCACCCAAAAAAGAGGTAAAAGAATGGCCCAACACCTTTATGAAAGGCTACTGTTCTACATACTTTGGGGGTCCAGGTATTATACGCCCTAAACCCGAAGTCCTCTCCATCCCAAACCCTGAACCCTAAACCCAAAGTCCCAGGATTTAGGGTTTGGGGGTTTAGGGTTTAGGGTTTAGGGTTTAGGGTTCAGCTCCTCTGTCTGGTGCTTAGTAGGGAATGGGGGAATGGATCCCTATGATAGTCCCTTAAGGTCCCTTATAGTAGTCCCTATAACCCATTCCCCTATTCCCTACTAAGCACCAGACAGTCCTAGCAAACAGAGGTTCATGTCGCCACAGCAGAGCACCGAGGTTCCCGGGGCGTACTGCTCTGCAGCTGCCGCTGCGGCAGACAAGAAGTGCTCCAGCTGAAAGTGTTTGAAGGCCTGTTTCGCCAGGGTGCAGGTCGCATTTCTGGGTTTGGGTTACGACTTGAAAATATGTCTTTGAAGCAACAACTTTTAGCCTCTCCCTTCACAAATTAAAAAAAAGTGATAGCGCAAGCCGCCGAGGAGCGGTGTAGTCCATACCCGCAGGTAACTGCTCCTCCTTCACCCGGCTTTTTAAATGCATGTTGGTGACGAGGAAGGGTGCAGCCTGACCCTTAGGCCGAAGGAATAGTCCAAGAACCACCTGGGTAGTGGTCAAAATTAGGGTCCCTTTTGGGGTACCCTAAATAATAGGTGCCGAATTTTTAATAAGGACCCAAAAAGGGACCCTAATTTTGACAACCACCCACCTGAGGAACCACTTGGAGGGCCTCTGCTGTACCGAAGACCTGCTCAAGACGAAGAGCACCTGAGCTCTCTGGCTCATCGGCTTTTGCTATGTAAGGCCTTGAGCTTTAGGGTTTAGGGTTTAGGGTTATGTCTATAGGGGCTTGTATGGGGGTTATGGACCAAAGGATCAAAGAAACCAAACAAGTTAAAATCTCCTCAGCTCGACGACGAGTCACCGGTGTAGGTCTGCTTCATCCAGGAGGAGCGGAGCTTTTGAAACTTCTTTTCTGCGAGATCGATACTTGTCCAGCACATCGCTCTCTCCACGTGCAGGCGATCCCTTCGCACGAAGATGGCCTGACCTTCAGTCACGTTGGCAGACCCCTTTGGCTTCTTCGTCTTAGGTACGAAGTATCCCTCGTAGCCATGTCCTTCGAGCACCGGCCGGAAGAAATCCTGAAAATGGTCCACCTCCTGGACAGGTTTAGGGCCTTGCTTCAGGGCTTGATGCATGTAACACAGGGGCCTTAATAATTATAGAATAGGGTTTTGGGGCCCATTATACTTTTCTTATAAGAAGGAACCCCCAAAATAGTATAGGTAATTATTAAGGCCCCTATAGTATGTGGGCGGAAAGTAAAAGTCTGAACTCCATATCCCTCGATGAGATCGAGGGACTCGATTCGATAACCATGCGGATCTAGCAAATGGTGCGCTGGGCGTGTAGAAACATTGCGACCTCGGAGATACCGCCCGTCAACCTCCCTTACTTGGAGGAGTCTTACACCCCTAAACCCTAAACCCCACAGTCAGAAGCCCTGAAAGAATCCAGAGTTTCCCCTAAACATGCGTCCTGGAGGCACACGATCTCCGCCTGGGAACGCAGGATTTCCTGCAAGAGGCCATCTTTCCGCGCGTCGAAGGAAACGGCACAGCCTTGCTCTGGCTACGGGGCTTTGACTAAAATCGCCGCAGCTGATTAGGTTTTAGGTGCGTTCCTTACTATGGTAACTCAAAGAACCCTACAGTACATGCTGAAGCCGGATGCGCTCCTGTTTATTAGCCTCAACAAAGCTCCTTGGCTGACCGGAAACCCGGATGTGTTCGCTCTTCTTCAGAGCGCCAGTGATTTTAACCGTGCCCATAAACTTCAATAATCTAAAGTCAAGACCACCTAAGAAAAAAGAAGCGAATTCACACAGTGTGGCTTTGAACATCCCACAGCTAACATGCTGGGCAAGCCAGAAGAAATTCCCTACATATATAGAAGTCCAAGTGCTCGGTCATCATATTCTCTCCAGAAGTTTCTAACCTGCCAAAAGCTTTGCACCCTTAACAGCCCATAGCATGCCTCCACCTTAAGAACCCCTGGGCTCTAGGCCCTGAAAGAACCCCGGGGCTCTGGGCCCTAAACGCTTGGTCAATAGCCCCTGAAGAGAACCCCTAAAACCTTCATATTCGGTTCTTTGGACCCTTTGGGTTCATAACAAAACCCTAGGCCCTAAACCCGAAAACGCAAACCCTCAACCTTTTCCTCACCACCCTAAACCCTAAACCCTAAACCCTAAACCCTAAACCCTCAACCCTCAACCCTCAACCCTCAGTTCATAACAAAACATTATAGTAGAACGTAGGGTTTCTGTCAGAGGAACTACTACTACGGGCAAGTATCCCCCGTAAAGGTATCCCTAAACCCGAAATCCTAAATCCTAGACCCTAAATCCTAAACCCAAAACCTGAGGAGCCCAAAAAGCACATAAGCATAAGCATTTTATAGGCATATTCCTACCTTATTGGGCTTCATTATAAGGGGGTTTATATGGGATATCCCTATCCTAAGTTTTGCTTATGTGCTTTTTTTGGGGCCCTAAAACCCCCAAGGAGAGCCCAGTCGCCTGTAGGCTCAAGGGCCTCGGCCAGCACGTTGAAGGTACACACGGTGACACCAAAGGCTCCCTGCTCATCCGTGCCTCCACCTCCCGTGCCACGGTTTAGGGTTTAGGGTTTAGGGTTTAGGGTTTAGGGTTTAGGGCGTTGTTTCTTGGGCTTAAGGTTGAGGGTTTAGGTTTGAGGGTTTAGTGGTTTAAGAGTTTCGGGCAGAGGATTCAGGTTTAGGACGTTTAGGGTCGAGGGTTTAGGGTTGAGAACCTGCTAAGCAGATGCTTCAATGGAGCCTTAGAGTAGGGGCTGGTGTCAGAAGACCCTAATATCAAGGCCCCTATAACTTAAGGTATATGCCTTAATTAAGTATCGGGCTCTCTGGGAAACCTAAACCTTAAACCGGTTTAGGGTTTAGGGTTTAGGGTTTAGGGTTTAGGGTACTTAAGCCCTGAACCCTCTGTAGAGTGCCTGTGTCCAGATCTCGCCATGTACGCTCCAGGTGAGCCATCGGCAATGCAGTTCTGGCACTCTGGGACCCAGCAAGGTTTAGGGTTTAGGGTTTAGGGTTTAGGGTTTAGGGACATGGTGTTTCCGGTTTTGTTGAGTTCTTTAACGGGGCGTTATAGCCTCGAGGGTTTTATATGGTGTTGTCGATGTTTGTCGGGTTCTTTGGTGGGGTGCTATAAGGCTCTATAGGGTTTATAGCATTTAGGAGTCGGTATTTAGGATATTCACTCCTTACACTAAACGATCGGGGCAGTTCTCGAAAGTACGGTGAGAACCCCATGGCCGTGCAATCGCTCTTTAACCCTAAACCCTAAACCCTCAACCCTAAACCTTAAACCCCCTTAACCCTAACCCTTAGCATCAAAATAGCCCAAAAGTCTTATATAATAGGGTCTTTGGGCCCAAAAGCCTTATTTTATGAGTCCTTTGAGGGTGAGGGTAAGCCCTAACCGGATCCCGAGCTGGACCCTAAGATCAGGATCCAGGAGTGCGACAACGCCCTAGCAGCGGGAACCTGTGTCTCTGAGAAACTACAAGGGCCGCGGGGCTTCGGAGTTAACACAACATATGTGTATCACTTAATACATATAAACATAGATACAAAAGTAAATATCAATATAAACATAGATATACATATAAATTAACACATAAATATACATATATGCACCTATGTGTGTGTATATATAAATACATATATGTATATATATATATATATGTATTTATAAGTAAGCGATTGGAGGGTTTAGAGCAGGGTTTAGAACTTTGGTTGCCTGCGGCTAGAGCCAAGCGAGATGGGAGTCGGCACGAGCACGACCGAAATCCGGAATCCCAAACCTTAGCGTCTTTCTTAGGGTTTAGGGGTTTAGGGTTTAGGGTTTAGGGTTTAGGAATTTAGGGTTTAGGGTTTAGGTTTTGGCATCACCTTTGACACTGCAGAAAACCGGGAACACACCGAAGAGCGTTGTGCTTTTCTGGAGCCTAAGATGTTTCGGGTGTAAAACCCAACACAAAGCACATGGCACGCCGAAGCCCCAGACCCCAAAACCGTTAAAACTCTGCCGTTCGGAAGACCACCATGGAAAAGACCAGAAACTCAAAGAACTCGCGCTCCAAAACGGCTTATTGTTTAGGGTTAACGGCTTAGGGTCTGGGGTTTAGGGCTTAGGGCTAAGGGAAGCTCCAATTGAGGCTTCATCGGGGGCCTTAAAAACACTCGAAAAGGTTCCTGTGAACGGGGTCTGGAAGGTTCCTAGAAGAACCGCCGAAAGGCTTCAGCAAAGGGGGCCCTATTGACTAGAAATGGGAAAAGCTATGCTAGAAGCTATACTTATACAGGCACCGTAAGTTGGCAAGGGAATGAATAATGAGGCCCTACGATATGTACACGGACATCTGTCGGTCAGATGAGCAATCAGGGTAGTTCTTAGGCTCCTTTACATAAGGGTGCCGTACTATATTGCGGACCTAAAAAGGGACCCTCATATAGAGAACCCTAAACCCTAAACCCTAAACCCTAAACCCCTCAGAAGGGGAACTAGCAAACTTGCAGCAGACTTTCACCAGGTCAGAGTTTGCTCAGAATGGTGGTGCCCAGAGAGCCCAATACCCCTTAATTCAGGAATATACCCTAGGGTTTAGGGTTCAGGGTTTAGGGTTTAGGGCCCCTAATTAAGGAATATATCCTAAATCACAGTATTAAAGATCCCTATGATTTAAGGTATATTCCTATTTTTAACATACCCTAAATCACAATATTAAGGCCTCCAAAATTTAAGGTCTATATTCCCTATTTAAGGGGGTATTGGGCTCTCTGGGAAGAGGCAAAAGCGGAGGCCTTCAAGAAGTGACGGTTTAGGGTTTAGGGTTTAGGGTGCTGCACAATGACCCAGGAGGGCCCACTACCCCTTAATTAAGGAATACACCGTCTTAAATCCGAAAATTACCACTCCTATAATTTAAGGTATGTTCCTTATTTAAGGGGCATTGGGCTCTCTGGGGAAGCAGTAATCCCAAATCACCAGGCCTGAGACTAAACTGAACAACCGGAAAAACGTCTGCACCCTACTATAACCCGTAACCCATAACCCCAAACCCCCGACACCCAACACATCTAAGTATGTACAAACTCCATGCTATGAGCCTAAAGCTTTCCAGCCTCGACACACACACACACACACATATATATATATATATATAAAAGCCCCAAAGCCTGAAAACAGTACTATAGACAGCTCATATCCACAACAGCAAAGCCTGAAGTGCCCCTCCCCCAGCCTGAAGCCAGTAAAATAGCGTAGCCTGACGTGGTTTAGGATGTGGGGTCTTATGTGGAAGGGAGCACAGGAAGCTTTGTCAGATCTGGATGGTAGACATATTCGGGATACACGTTCCTCCTGTTCTTGTTCCAGTGTTTCGAAGCTTGAGCACAGACATGCAAGGGTTTCGGCTGTGCATTTTCGTGTCATTTCCTGCAAGGTTTCACTATGCCTAAGGGTCCATGTACCCAAATAGCACATACTTTGGCCCCAATGTACCTATATAGGGACTACTTTAAGGCCAAAGTACATACTATTCAGGTACATGGACCCTTAGGGTATGTTGTGTTGCTGCCTGTCACGTTTGAAAGTCAGGGCCATCGGGTCGCACATGCGGTGTTGACGGCAACTCAGGGTTTAAGGTTCAGGGTTTAGGGTTTGGGGTTCAGGGTTTAGGGTTTAGGGTTTCGGCTTGTTGGTGATAAAGTTTAACAGCAGGCCCTTTACACGATAAACTTAGACCAAAAAACCTAAACCGCAACCGTGTAAAGTCATAAGACTTGGGGTCATCAAGGGCTGGATTAAGGATCCAGTTCATAGAGGAGATTTAATCATTAGACAATGGGGGGGTAAGGTATGTAAAGTACTGTGTATATAACTAACTACATATATACATCTACATTCATTCATTGATTCATCCATCCATCTATCTCATTCTTTCATATATGTATATACATACACACACAGAGACGTAAACTCTGAGGGATACTCCGAGCAATACTACACGTACGAAAAACTCAGACCTGCACATTAGGTGCTAAGGGTTCATTGCGGTGGGTGTTTGTCACCATGCAATCATACATCCTGAAACCGAACCACCCCATGCTAAATCACCAAACTCAAACCAGCAAATGATGACGGTTTAGGGTTTGAGGAACTGCAGAAGCTGTAGACTTGCACATCCCGCGCAGCCCGGCACCCAAATCCCTGAGTTCTCCACCTAACCCTGGCTCCTTCGAGTCCTATGTAAACCTAAACCCTGCAGCCCTACACTACATGAACCCTAAAGCCCTCAAGCCCTACGCTCCTAAAACCCCACATCACGTTGGCTGCCCTAAGCCCTAAACCCTAAAGCCCTGCACCGGTGCGGCTGCCCTAAACCCAAAACCCTAAAGCCGCACTAAAGCCCTACAGAATAGAGCTGGGGGTCTGGTGTATATATACATATATATATATATATACACACACATATATGTATATATATATATAATATTATGTAAACCTCTATATCCAAAATAAAGTAAAATATAATTCGATGTACTCTACAAGGATATAATCTATAATCCAGTATAATCTAATGTAATGTCTTGTAACAGAACAAATAAACTGTAATATGTCGTGAAAATATGATAAAATTAAGTACATTATAACATACTACAGTATAACATAATATGACATAGGTTAAGTACACTATACCATAATGCAATATGTTATAATAAAACATAGTGTTAGGGACTCTATTCACCAAACTGCGGCTGGGCGGCAGGGTGCCCTTGTTGCCGTCCAAGCTCCGGAGCCAGTTCAGAGCCTCGGTCTCCACGTCGCCTCGGGGCTTTGGGGATCGGCTTAGTACAGGGTTTAGGGTTTTAGGGTTAAGGGGTTTAGGGTTTTGGGGTTGAGGGTTTAGGGTTGAGGGCTTGAGGTGTAGGGTTTAGGGTTTCAGGGTTGAGGGTTTAGGGTGTAGGGTTTAGGGCTTTAGGGCCTTTGGGTTTAGGGTTTAGGGTTTAGGGGCGATTCAGGCTTTACGGCTTGAAACTTCTGCAGCGCCTCAGAAGGTTTACGGTTTAGGGTTTAGGGTTCAGGGTCTTAGTTACGAGGTGCTGGACGGGCTGCTGGCTGTTGGGACTTAGCAGGCTTAACGGCGAAGTTGATTGAATTCGGTCTAAACCCTAAACCCTAAACCCTAAACCCTAAAACCCTCTTAAGTTTCAACCCACAGCAGCTCCCCAGTAATAATCCCCACCAAACAGCACGGCCCTGATAATGGTTGGGTTTGAGACATTTGAGGTTTAGGAGTTTAAATCTTAGGCTTTGGGGCCGAAAATGAAGTGCCAGGTGCTATTGGTGCTATGATGTTTTAGGTAAAGCGCTTCAAAGACGCCCACATAAAGCTGCAGAGCCCGAAAACTCGTCGCTGGCCTCGAGGGATGACGGCCAGCTGGCTCTCGTCCACGGCCTCTTCCTCCTTTGGGGTTTAGGGGTCCTTCAATTAAGGATCCGGTTTGCAGGGGTCCGCCTTTGCCCTGCAACTCCCATGTCGATTAAGCCCGTTG